ACATATCTAAACCATTGTACCCGATATTAAATAATATTTGAATTATATATTTTATAGGTTTTTGATTCAGATGTGTTTTTCTCATTTTATGTTTACATTTGCATGGCATTGTCACTAAATAACCAACTTGAAAGCTGACTCGTTAATGGGACTTTCAATGACATGCACCACAATATGTTTGGCCAATCAGCACTCGTCAACACGCTATTCCAGTTATTGAGCAAATGTATGCAGAAAGTCGATAAGGCGGACATTGAATATTTCAAATATAATTTGTAAGTTTAAAAAAAACGTGAAAGGCGGAAAAACTGATTTTGTATGGCATTCATGATCTTATTGAATTATACAAATTTGCAAGCAAAATTATCATAATGCGCTAGCGCATTATATTCAACAATCCAATTATAAGTTTGTTCAAACTATAAAAGACGACTACTGACTAATCCGTGTGTAGATCCTAACTACTTTGAATCGTGTGCAGTCTCCGTGTATGTGTCTTGTTTGGTAATTGTGTCTGCGAAAATTGATTTTATTTTATTTGTGTAAGCACAATAGTTGATTTCAAGCAGCTTTGCTGCACTTTCTTATCTAAATTGTTCATAGCAACCCACACACATTCTGTAGCATTGCTTGTTTTTTTTTAAGGTATTTACGATATATTTGAATGATACAGCTTTGCAAGCAAACAACATAATGCGCGCTAGCTGTGTCATACAAATAAATCATAAATACCATACAAGAACAGTTTAATACTTCTATTTACGTTTTCTCTGCCTCTTATGTTCTTTTTTTAACTTATAATTTATATTTAAAATTAAAAATGCCCGCCTTATCGACAGTCCACACAATTTCGTTCAATAGTTTGAACAGCGTATAGTCGAGTGCTGATTGACAAACAAAGTAGTACTTTGAAATTTTAACAAACCCTTTAATTGTATTCCACAATTCAGTACCAATACAATTGCGTATGATATGTCTATAGGGTGATTTAGGTTTATCACTAGAACTCTGAGATGGAAGTTAGATTTGAAATTATTTCGATTTTTCCCTGGAACAAATTTCGCGCATGGACAATACAGTGAACACCGTAAATCCGACCTTGCCCTCCATGAGGGAGTTATTTTTGGAAGTTAATTCGAAATGTTCTCTTTGCTCATTTTGTGAACAACCAAGGCGTGAATGTATTTGCTGATTGCATGGCAACAGTCGGTAGATTATATAACATCCTCGTTATTTGACATGTCGTCAGATACTGGGGAACCGTGGATACGAGACGTGTGAAACCGATAGCGTTTGAATTGAGTGATCTTGCGACGGAGCACAGGTTCGTTACAAATGCCTGAAATGTTTATGTGTTCTGTGACTCATATCAATAGCTCTGTAACATATGTGTCAGTAGGTCTATAGAATATGTGTATTTCAGATATTTGTAACGAATCCCCGTTGATCAGGGCAGTGTAACAGACGATATTTCTGATAAATTGCATGAGCGTTAAAATTGTTTCCAATGCCGGCATATATAATTTTAACCGATGTGCATTTTGTACGACATTGCAGACCTTGGTCAAATCTCACAATGCCAAGCGATATTTCAGCAGTTTTCATGTTTATTCATATTGGAAATTGTTGTTCCGGTCAGTGTTGTATTAATACGCTAATAATTGTGTCTCGTGAAGTATGGTAATTAAAGTCCCATCAACGACACAGCTTTCAAAGAGGCTATAAAGTGCCAATGCCATGCAAATGTAAATATGCATACATACATTCCCCGCTTGTAGACAAACTTGTAACCGAGTTTGAGTTATACGTTCGCAGTATTCCCCTTTGTACAGTTTTTAGAATAAATTGGCATCCTAAGCGTTATTTTGTAGTGTTCATATGGTTATTTACAGGCACAATGATTCCATCTTTTCAAATCTCATCATAAGAAGTATTACCAAAAATGTGGTGTAACAACAGTATTTTTAAAGAGTTTTGAAAAAACTTTTTTTTATTGTTTAACCTGTGTCCGTGAATGTAGGTCAAGATGAACGATTTGCATACGCTTTGTAGCCAAGCTTATATGCTATGAATTTGTTAAATACCAATTCTGTATGTTTCAGGGTTACGGAAGAGAAACGTTTTTTTTTTTTTTGTTATTTTTAATTTCGAGGGAATGCTTATTTAAAAGTTACGTATCTTCGTCATTTTCGATACTCTGATCTGAAACTTTGTAAATATTTTCATTAGATCACGCTATTCATTGCGTTGTGTAACATGAACTGTTTTTGAGATGTTCATTTTAAATCTTTCTTTGACCTCCTAGGGAGACCTTGAACTTGATCTTTTCTCAGATACCATGCATGTCATGGGAAAAAGTTAGCTCCGACCAAGATCTACAATAAATAGTAAGCATGCATACAGTATAACCGTATTGGAGTTAGGGTCGTTCGGGAAGAAAAGGTACCATTATTAGATATGTGACTTAGAACATTACAATCATAATTTTGTTCTATCAATTAGGGATCGATGTCATCTATCAGATAAAGCAGCATCATATAACTAATTCCGACTACAGAGATCTAATACACATATGATATACTGATATAGGTCACAGTACTATGTGTATGTGTGCTGTGACCTATATCAGTATAGCATATGTGTATTAGACATTTGCAATGAGCCTCTTTGGTCAAACCGGTCAAACTGTTTGGAATGCGATAATCGAAAGTAGTCTAGTAGTTGGCTCCATACCAGACATTTATCTTTCACAGTTTCTAGGTTTGGTTTCAGGTCCAGAGGAAACTTGGGCTAATATTAGTCATTTATATCATACTGTTATAAACCTTCCAGAAAGGTTTCAATTTATGCTGGTATGATATTTCAAGCATAGGTAATTAAATTTAGTAAGCATCATGATGAGTTATGCAATTTATAAAAAGGTGCGAAGATTTGGAAGGGTATCAAAGTTAAAATATCAAAGGAAAATGAAATATTATCCACATAATTCTGATTTAATTTTCAGCGATACAGGAATGTTGAAAAATATAAAATGTGTTGCCTATCGTCATCCTGGCAGTATCTACTGTACACTGTACATGATATTTGTTTTTGTTTCAAAGTAAGGATTTTTCAAGTTCTTTGCTTTGCGTTTTATAGCTACTACTTGCCTCATAGTTTAATCAAATTTACACACACATTCCTTCATTTTAGCAAATTTACATACGTTAAAGTGCTGTAATCCACACATACTAAAATATATTCCAAAGAGACTATTTCTTCATAGCATGTTTATAAATGCAAGCTCTCCTGAACAAAATGTTCCTAGATAATGCTAAATGTATCCTAGTATCCCACTCCTTCATTTCAGCAAATTTGCATATGTTTCAGTGCTGTAATCAACACATACTAATATATATATACCAAAGACACTATTCCTTCATAGTATGGTTATACATGCAAGCTCTCCTGAACCAAATATTCCTAGATAATGCTTAATGTATCCATTTAAAACCACTAACAGGAGAGAAAAATGCATTGTCATACCAGGATTTAGACCCGAAACCCTCAAAACTGTAGACGGACGCTCTAACACCTACCTGGTCACCGGTGAACAACCCAGTCCAGTTCAGCTACATTGTTTCCTACCTTACTGAAGTCTTTGATCCCAGGTTATTTTTTGAGAAGTTTAAAAAAAAAAAATCAAATTTCCTGGGAAGGATATTTTGATCTAAAATATTGATTTTTTTTGTTATTTGGCGATCTGCCATAAGCTTAGGTTTAATTAATTTGGCGCTAAAGTTCATTGCATTATATGTTAGTAAACGATTTGTAATTATATTTGCTTTCTGTACAGCTAACATCTGGTAGCACTCATAGCGAACGTAATATAGTCTCCCTAAACGGTTTCCAAGACAGTATGACATAATAACCAGTAACATTTCTATGAATAATGACACATAATACTTTGCTATCGTTTTATTTAGAAGCATTGCTTTAAAACTGGTCCAAAAATGTTAATCAAAACATGGCGTTACAAACTTATAAACTGACACTACACTTCAGCCATTATAACTGGAAAGTTACATTTCAAAATGTGATTTATGAACAGTTAATTTTGCTAAGTCTGATTAGAAGCAGTTGAGCCTCGAGCGCATATGAAATGAAAGCGGAAGGAGAACTATTGGCAACATGTTATTTGGCTGTTTTAAACTTTGGCCATTCATTCTGACCATATAGCTATAGAACGTCCATATCGCGAAATTGAAGCTCCCCATTACTTTCTTGCTACACAGTATCTCAGCTGCTATAACATAAACTGGGTTTAACTATCTTACAGGCTTCCTAAAACAAGTTCATTGTTACCTCTATTTAACAATTGACCTTGACCTCGATTACTGAAATGATGGTTTGCAGAGCATAATGTTGTTGTTGTGTCAGGAATGGACATCAAACTGTTTAAGTATGTTCATCTTGAGAAGGTGGTGTGTCCTATCATAAAAGAAGGTCAGGTTGACCTCAATTGGATCTTCTGCATCTTCCGTAATATTCTTGATTCTTTCTTATTTTTTTCCAAATCGAAAACTGTCTCAGCTGATCTATCTGTGTCGATTTTCTTGTCGCAGGTATGATCTCGTCTTTCCATTTTTTATTCTTATTGACCTTTTTGTCCTCTATCAAAAGAGTTTGTTTTCCTAATGTTGAAGATTAACACTGAAATTGTTAAGCTTTCCCTGAGACAGGGTCATTTGTGACCTTGACCTTTTTAGACGTCCAGTGATGATGACGACTTAAATGAGAATTGTAATTATTGCAGGAATATCATCTTTACTTTTTACAATAAATCACTAAATAATTGCATGACTATTGACTGATTATCTTCAGTACACATAATTTATATTTTAAAAAAACCCATATAATTCACATTTGTATTCCTAGATTTCATGAAATTCAGAAATGATGTTTATGGAGGCGTTCTAAAATAACACTGTTTTAATGTGAAATAATGGTGCTTTGTTTAGTGATATGTGAGGAAAGACAGCAGCGGATACAGCAGCAGCAGCAACAACATTACACCAGAGGAATAGCTGAAAATATGGAAAACCCTTGTAATATCACCATTACTGTCGTTGGACACCAAGGAGTCGGCAAGTCTTGTTTTGTCCGACAACTAAAACAGGAATATATTCCCGAAGGCGGACCGGGTTCGACGGATACCGCTGATCTATATGTCAACTTCTTTGAGTACAACCCGAACACCGGCCTCCGACAAAAACTTGATGAGGATGGCGAAATCAAGACGAGTCGTCAGCGGCTTAAACGCATCATTGATCAACAAGATAAAACGTATACTAAACCGTCTGCGATCACACCACAGCAAATCAATGACTCCGCGGCAGCAGTATCAACTATGGAACCATCTGTGTCGTCAGCTGGGAAAAAGACAGGTAGCTGGAAAGACACACTTTAATATAATAGAGATGTTAGAAATATCAAAACTTATCAATGAACGTATTCAGCAAAGCATCATCTACCTAGTACCTCAAATCTTAATCAGGTTTTCAAACAATACCGCTCTAAATATAGGAAAATATATTACTTAAATGATATATTGATTGTCTGTTTTATTTATATGTACATTCAATAACGTTTATTGTGTGTAGTGTTATGCTAACTGTATCGCCAATGAGAAAATCATAATATATTTGCTTTATAAGTTTCATACAAAAGTGGAAAAAAGTTATTGTCGGAATCACTACTTAAAAGTATAACAAAAGGTGAGCTATCTGTGATCACATAATTCCTGTATCGTATTATCGGTATAGTGACTTACCTACTTACAAATAAATAGATACATGGTAGTAAATGTATATATATATCGTAATCGGATTATTTATGCTGTAACGTGCATCATTAAATGCAACGCATACTTCCCGTACGGGATTTTTTGGTGTAACGTCAGGAATTATGAAGTACTGAATACCGGAAAATTACGTCGCGTTTTTACTCGTCTTGTTCGCCCACCGCAATGACAGTGTGTTTATCATTTGGAGCACATCTTATCTAAATAAGTCTGTTCTGCCAATGTCGTTTAAAGGACGACGAATATAAAAAACGCAGTTAATGAATTTTATATTAAAGAACAAATAAATCAGAAAAAGCACCGTTTAATCCCTGTATTATACTCAAATATGAATAACGACATTTTTACTGGTCGAATATCGAAATTTCCCACAAACAACGAATATTGCCTGTGCAAAATTTTCCGGTAAGCAATCTAATCATGAGTAAATTCATCAAATTATTCAAAAAGTTCAAATTGTCAATTATCGAATAATATCTTCCAATTACAGAAGAAAGTCAAATTGTTGAAATATCGCACAGAAATCCTTCCCGTTCAGAGGAACTGTCTGATGAACAAAGACACGTCATTGAGGAAGTCATGGGCACAGAAATGGAGGATTGGAATGCCTTTGGATTAAAGGGCCGCGTCACAATATATGACTTCGGAGGAGAGAAGGTGTTTTATAACACACAACACTGCTTCATGTCAAGCAACATGGTCTTCGTCCTGTTGTTCGACGTGGCTATGTGTCTTGATCCACGCAGAGCAAAGGATGGTTACGGTAATATTTTAACAATTAATCCTTTACAAGGTTTTCACTTTTTTTTCAAAAACGTATAAAAGTAAACCTTGACTTACCAAATCGCATCACATACTTTGATATTATAAACTAAATGTAACTTGAAGCGCGACACACCCAATCCTGGTATCGCTAGTATAGTAGATGTGACAATAAAATACTCAAGTGACATCGTATAAGGTTGTGTCAAATCACATACCAATGATGTTCGTTATATACAAAGTTAGATGTCAATTCATGAAAGAGTGGATGATATATGTTTAAGAAACCTGTGTTTTTATAACTTGTGGCAAGAATCAAATGACAAACAGAGGTCACAGTGAGCTCATTTCTAAAGCTATTTACTGACTCATAGTAATTTACTTTATAGAGAAATGCTGCCCATTCATTCAACAGTGAATAAGATATGTTTCGGGTACCTGTAATTGATACCTTTATTTCAAAACATTAATTTCCAAAAAAAACCTCCTAGGAATTACCAAGACGAGACGTTGATGTCCTGTCATTTATCTCTTAGTTGACTTTCACATAAGCTGGTACTATAAAATGTTTCAGTAGGAAAATTGATTATCTGAACACTTCGCCATTGTAATTGTTCTCCAAGCGTGAAAAAAATAAGAATTTCATCGTGAGGAATTAACAAGACTAGACGTTTTACATTTATCTCAGAGTTGACTTTCACATAAGCTGGTACTATTGGATGTTTCAGTAGGAAAATTGAATATCTGAACACATCGCCATTGTAATTGTTCTCCTAGCGTAAAGAATAATTGTAGTATTTCTAATGTACAGAGCAAATCGAGTTCTGGCTGAAGGTGTTCGCTACCTATGCTATTGACGAAGCAGCACAAAGTGAAGGAACGCCTCCTGTCATCCTTGTTGGATCACACCTAGACCTTGTTTCTTCTGATGTAGGTGTTAAAATCTGTTCTATCTTGTTTGAGAAACAATCTATTTTCACCAATAGTTACAAATTGACAAAGTTTAGTATTGAGCTTTTTTTTTAAATATGAAGAATAATAGATAGTAGTCAATATGTTTCCCTCAAAATAAAATGTCCTAGAAAAGAACATATTGCTGTTTTTACAATTCACGTAGATGTGATTAATTGTGGAAAATTGTAACATCTACATGTGATAGGTCAGTGTGTATTTATGTGTATAGGTCATGATTAAACACGTTGTTGTTGTTGTCACCGTTTTATATGTCTTAAACTGAAACAAACAACACATTTGCACATTAACTGCATGCTAGTGATATAGAGAGCATACTAAATGTTACATGACATCTTATTTATTAACACAGAAAGAAAAACAGGAAGAATTATTCATCTCAGTGCTAGAAAAGCTGTACGAGAAACCTGAAATCTGTGAAATTATTGAGGCCCACGTCCAGGAAATGTTTTCAGTTGCTAACTTAAATGATTGCAATAAAAACCAACATATGTATAAGGAAATATGGAACAAGATCATAGAGATTGCCAAACTCCAGTCCCAATGGGAGAAGCCAGTACCTGCAAGATGGGTCGCCTTGGAATACGAGCTATTCAGACTAAAGAAAAGAGGAAACATTATCCTTACGTATGATAAACTGCTAGAAATAAACCGCAAAACAGCAGTGCCATTACCCGAACATGACATCATGAATTTCCTTAGGTAGGTAGAAATTTCGTACATGTGCATTATCAGAAATGTGTATATAAAAAAAAAAATCTGAAAAAGTGTAATTTTTTTGTATTTGATTTTTCATTTTGTTTTGGTAGGAGACTGAGATTTACCGGATCATTCCTCTGTTTTGATCTTCATAGCAAGAAACCTTTCATTGTTCTTCAACCACAGTGGATAATAGATGCATTAAAAGCCATCATCACTGACCCAAAGTTCATAGCCGACCTATCACCCAAGCAACAACTTCAATGGAAGCAGTATGACAAATCCGGCGTTTTATCACGGGCACTTACCAGACAACTGTGGGGACGTCATAAGAAATATCGGTTCCTTGACGAGGAGGAAAAACTTGTCATCGCAATGGAGAATCTCGGTTTACTAACTAGACCGATATCAGTAGATGCAGTGGTTGATTACTTCATAGTACCAAGCATTCTTCAAACTGCAGATCCCGAGATAATTCATCCAGTGCTTGATGACCCTGACACTGTCACAACTGTCACTATTTGTATCAAGTTCGACAACCCATTCATCCCACAAGCCATTTGGGACAAAATGATTGCCTCCTGCATTCACAGGTTTCAGCGACTGAGAGAGTTCGGACATGATGGTTTAACGTTCATCCAACGCGGATTTGCTTGCCTGTCTGTGGATTTCCTGTGGAACATGATCATCAACTGCAGCGACAATGCCATGAAGGTTACTATGTTCAAGAAGGATACAGATGATTCTGTACCAACTGGAACGGGAATAAACTTGCTCAAAGTGCTTGAGTTTCTTCTCCAGCGGATTCTTGATTTAAATCACCAAAGTCATCTTGGATACAAATTCTACCTCCACAACGACTTCCGGTTCACAGCAGAGGAGAAAATGGTGACGGCTGACGATCTTCGACAAACACCACGTCTACAATGCTACAGTTCAAATGGAACGAGATGGATAGACAGCAACGACCTACACATATGGTTCAGGAATCCAAACCAGAAGGTATACAGTCTATACGTCATATTTATAATAAGATATGTACACTTGCGCATGTAAAACACAAATCGCCGATGGTATACAATAAACACATGAATATTTCAGCGTTCATTGTCAACTGGCTCTTACCGAGTATTTCCATCAATGCACTTGCTAAGTAAGGTAACCTCTGGGAGTAATGGTATTAACATTACATTTTGCTATATCTTGCTTATTTGCTAACACATTCTATTTCCAACATTATTCTGGGAAATTACCTTGGTATTTAGATAGGACGTCGCTCAATTGTATTAATCGTAACATTATCAATGTATATCGCTTTTGTATAAAAGCACTAAAGATAAATGATCAGAGGCAGAACATTTCCATACATGCACTGTTCACAAAACTACGATAAAATCTATAATATACTTAAAAAGTATTTATGTAATGTTTCATCGCTAGTAAAATAACTTCCGTACGCTGTTCACAACTATCTTCTTTTTCATCGTCAAGTACTTGCCAATTAAAAAATACTTTGTTTTGCAGAAAACACCAATCCGTAAAATAACTTCCGTATGCTGTTCACAACTATCTTCTTTTTCATCGTCAAGTACTTGCCAATTAAAAAATACTTTGTTTTGCAGAAAACACCGATCCATACGCGCTATCTTGGTAAGTTATCAGTGTTATTTTGTTTCTTATTTACAACAGGTGTTAGTTAAGATATTTTATTTTATGACCATGCAACCAATTTTACATTCTCCTTAACTAAACTCATTCGTCCGTTGTTCCACCATTTCAGTAATCCTTTTCTTAATAGGTGTGATGAGTTTGTGAATAAAATATTTCCTGATAAGTAAGTATCGTCTACCAAAACTGGGTATACTAGTTCTCTAATATTTTTTCACGATTATTGTATTTCTGGTATTGTGCAGTCAGGTGCATGCGTAGTTATTGTATTCATGCTAGCTATGTCGATTGAACTATGACTGTTGCAGACATAACAAAGGATTTACCAGACAGAAAACTGTCGTTCAAAGAGATTGGTAGAATCTCTAGATATATCGGCAGTACATACCAGACGTTCTTTGCCGAGCTTGATTGTCCAGTCGCGCTTGTAGAGCAGGAAATGGAAGAGCACCGCCACCTCACCTTTAGATCTCGCATCACAAAGATATTCGTTCACCTCCTCAAAACGGAAGCAAATACTGGATTCTTGGCTATAGCAGATGCAATGTCACAACACGGAATGGACCCTACCATACTCATAAACATTCTCGACTCCAACAGGAATATGACTTTTACAGGTACTAAGCAAATCTCTATATGTCTTTCTCTCTCTCTCCCTCTCTCTCATCCCACATATAATTCTGTATGGCATTTTTATCTTTAGACTATCATCTGAACAGACATTTTCTATATGTCCTTCTGTATATGACATTACACCACCATAGACTCGTCCCTAACATTACTCTAGCACGCCATTTCTTTGATTTCTATCACATAATCATACTAGCCTACCTGTATCACCCACAAGGTTGCGCATACATAGTCTTTAATAACGTCATAAAATACCCAATGGTCAACGGATTTCTAGGATATGTTTGACTCAGAGTTTCTTTCATATGATCTTTTTTCAACTTGTTCTGTAGTTTCATTTTGTTTATTCCTCAGCTTTCTCCTCTCTTTTCCGTTTTTAATCTGTATCTGTATCAATATCATTATTGTATTATTTCTGTCTTTGACTCTCGATAACGATTCTCATGCAGTTATAGTTTGTTTGTATTTTTATCATTATTTTTTTCCTTTTGCTTACTCTTTTCAGGCGAGACATTGTCGAATGGATGGTTAAATACGTATTTGTCTATCAATGATGTTCCAATCATCGCTGGTTATATAGACATCAAATCATACTTTAACCTGTTTCTGGAACTTGGATTCACACCAAGAACAGTGGATGATTTTGATGACGAATACAGAAACAAGAGAACCTTGAAGAAAATCACTGCTTTATTGGTAGCGTTCATTAATGAGACCGATCCCCGCCCAACAGTCAACACAATTCTTCTTGCGATGCGGGAATGCGACATGGACACCGAATATCTCATCAGAGCCCTAAATCCAACATAGGTTGTGCTACCTTTGCTCGAAGTTGAATCAGTATGTTAAAAATATGATGTTGTATTTTCATTGAAAAATGTTTATTTGTTATTTTTAGCAAGAAAAAACATTTCCAGATCAGATGCTTCAAGATCTTCTAATGGCTAGATGTGAATGTCTAACTATTCGGGGAAAATGGATTGATATTTTCCTTCCATGTGTGCATCGATAATGACATTTTCCCTCGGATGAATCAACATCCCTTTTAAACAACAACAGCCCTCTGATCTGGAAGAAATATTTACTCTACTACATTATAATGAATATCATATTATATCATGATGTTGTATCTAAATACTTCGTATCGTGCATTAAATATAAATGATCTATTGTGTCCCCTAAGTATATTTAATAATTTTCTCCATTGTAGGTTAAGGACTGTTATGACTGGCGTGCGTTGCTAAACAGACGATGTTCTGTTGTGGTTTGAGTAACCAAATCAATATTGTTCTCCGCTGAGACATTGTTCTACTGTGACGGTAAAGACTGATGTGTGTTACTATAGATACGCTGTTCTTCGGTGATGGTAAGGACTGATGTGAGTTACCATATATACGCTGTTATAGTGTGCTGCTAAGGACTGGTGTGTGTTACCATAGAGACGTTGTTCTACTGTGATGGTAAGGACTGATGTGAGTTACCATATATACGCTGTTCTACTGTGATGATCAAGACTGATGTGAATTGCCATATAGTGGCTGTTCTATTGCGATGCTAAGGACTGGCGTGTGTTACCATATAGCATTGTTCTACTGTGATGGTAATTACTTGTGTGTTGCCATGTATATGCTGTTCTACTGTGATGGTAAGGACGGATTTGCGTTACCAGGGAGACATTGTTCTACTTACCGTTAGACATGTACGGAAATCAGAGTACATACAATGTATGATCATTCAGATTGTAAAAGGTACGTTTTTTGGCTAATTGAATTGTTTGTATTTAGCCGATGTTGTGAGTCAGTTAAAATGTTAAGTCAAGTTATCGCTGCATTTACCATAAACAGTTCGTAACTACAGACTACAGTGTATATAACTAGAATTTGACTGTATGTTAACGGGTGTATGGCTATATAACTTGGATATTTAGTGTAACAACGATGTAAATACAGTCTACATAACTAGGATGCTGACTATGTTATAAAGGGATTATACTTATACATATTGGTTTTAAGAGATCTGAAAAAGCTCCAAATGTATAATCATTTTCTTTAACATAGCCTTAATAGTGAACATGACTTTTATTGAGCCAGTATATAACAAAAACAAAAGCTACATATTACTTGTATCAATAGTTAGTAAGTGATAAGATTATAGATGGTTGTATAGCGTACCTGTTTTCGTATCTGTATATACACAGGCACTTTATCCGTCACACAATGTATGCGTGTGAATGAATCATCTTGGTGTAGTTCTTACATGCTCTATACCTAACAACAGTATACCCAGGCATTAACAAAACCATAATTCAACGTCAAAATCGTTTAAACTACGGCAATGTATGAAAGGAAAAAGTAACATTTACATGGAGATCCTTGAAAAAGTACATGGATAATGAGACCGGTGTTCTGGAATTGTATCATTGACGACACCCGCCATTTTGATATAGGTCAAATCCGAGCTATGCCACATCATCACATCGATAACTTGATAACAACACCAAACTCGCAAGGCTTTCTGATGATTATTATCAAAAGTATCGACCTCCATTTCACACAACAAATTACCATGTTTTATTGCGACAGCCTGATTTTGACTATCAAACTTGTCCAAGCTATTCATCATCCGTCATCTTAGGAAACGAAACCCTGTGTTGTACGTTTGTTCGTCATCAGTCAACATCAATCACAGAAATCACGATTTGTGGGGCAAACTCTTGCGTACATATTCAACCATTAAAATAAACTTTGTGTAGTGGGACGATTTAAAATTTTTGCATGTTTTAAGTAATATTTTGTATTTGATAAATTTATGAGCATTTACATAGTTCAACAGTAAAACAAAATGAGAGCTAAATACAAGATGGATAATGGATTTGCATGTGCGCCATATATTGAAATGAAGCAATAATATGGAAAACATTACATTCACATGTAATGTTATATTACATTGATTATATAAATTTCCCGCTGCATTTAACGTTTTTTGTTCAAATTTTAAATGCACATTCTTATTTTTTAGAATTCTTAGTGGTGTATATTTTTAGTATAGATATGATCGGGCTACGAAGCGAAAACCAATGTAGTATTTCGTAGTTTTATTTGTATTTTATTTTTCACATTATACCGTTATTATATCTCTTAACGTGTTCACTAAGACAAATAGTTCATTCGATGTTGAGATCTCCAATTTTTACACTGCTATACAATCTTGATCACACTATTTTACAAGTATCCATATTGTGTCATTGCTTAAAAAATGGGGACATTGAAACATGTATTTATATTTTCTTGTTAATCTTATACTGTTTATCCTTTTGACAACAAAGTGTGTAATTTAATATCTTTTTTAGGAATAATTTCTACATTTTTCACTTGACGATGCTCGCTTAGTCAATGAGGCTATACAGGTTTGCAATATAACAGTATATTATGTTCATTGCATGGATGGCCATCAAATCATTCTGGAAAAGTTATTAACGTATGTTTCACATAAAGTCAATGACATCTTGTGTATTATATTGTATATGTCTGAATTACTTTCATCGTCATGAAACATACAGTTAAACCTGTCTAACCTGATCTCAAAGCATCTCAAAGTATACTAACATCTGGTCCAATATAGCATCATTCTGGCACTTCATTACTATTGGAAACTACCAATTTAGACCTTTGTCTAATCTTATGTGAATTTTTCATAGATGGTGTCAGAACAGACAGGTTCACAGTAAAACGTTATATTCAAATGTATTCACAATACTGACATATTACTGCTTCAAATAGCAAAAATTGTAAGGCTTGATTAAGGAGGTTCTTCTGTAGCATTAATATGAGTGAAATATTGACACATATTTTATTTATGTGTGACAGTTAGAATCAACAAACTTTTTTCGATAACAGTTCAGTAAATGGTCCTCCTCTGAACTATATATAGCAACATGGCAATTTAGTTGTAAAACAAATGCCTGATGAGTAAAAATCTCAAAATTATACATTTTTTTAAATAGGTATGATTTTAGGTAAAATGTTATCTAATAGCTAGTGAACATATAGATGATGCAGAATAAATGCAATATAAAAAAAAATATTAGACATACGAGATAATTATCTGTGGTATAACTGATGACAATGTAATATTTTTTGGGGTTTTTTTACATTTTAATACACAAATCTTGCATCAACCTGACAACACTTGATCTGGATCAGCATTTCTTGACAGTCATACACGACAACATATAGCCATATGTGCCGACATAAAAAGTCATTTTGAAATTCCTGTAATTACTTTCTTTAATATAGCAGGTACTTCGGTTCATATTGTCTCATCAGATCAATTCGGATCACTACACGTTGTTGATACTTTGACGTTATCGTTAAGTTAACCAGGCTTTGATATCAGGCCAAGTTTTGTGATATCAAATTTTCTGAGTCGTATGCTTTTTAATTGTAGTTTGTAATCAGTGTTTTAATTGGGTAAAATCAGCAAAAGAGTTTTTCATTGAGTAAAAAGAATCACTTCTATGTTATGAATAATGATCAATATTTCACCAAAACATGTGCTGTCTTATCAGTGTTAGATAACTGTTGTATTAGTAGGCAGCAGATAAATATCTAAAAATTATGTCTACCCCAGATCGATATGTAAACGATGGCGTAAGTAAAACATTTCTGAATATACCGTGATTTGATTATGGTGTTGCGATTTTGTGATGTATAAGTGCATGCGAGAGTAATAGCAATAGTAGAAGTTTATTGTTGTCTTTGCTACGAAAAATAGCATCTAGTCTTATAATATTTTATGTGTTATCGCAGTGCAACGTAAAAACTTCATTCTTCATATTACCCTTAATAAAAAATATAAAACTGTCACGTTCGTTTTTGTATTTTTTGTCATATAAATTACAGTTGTTTAAAGAACATTTTATATCATAGATGTATCCGTACTCTTTATTCATAGGGATTTTGTGAATATTGTGAAAACGAATGCAATATAAACGTTCTCCTACCTGTCGTAAAAAGCGATTATGGGAAGCCCCTGATAAATCACTAAGGGGACATTGAAGATATAAATTCGGTCTGCTGCAACATTCGAAATGTTTATACTTTCTCTCAACTTTCCGATAACGATTTTGTTACCTATTGCCGTGTTTCTCAATACCTCATTATTGGCCTTTACAATGAGCGTTTGTCATTGAAGGGAAGACGATGGGTTTTGTCCCCAGTAATGTATTTAATTTAATTTAATTAAAAAACAAAATAGTTCATATATTCTTCAGTTAAAGCTGACTATGCTTTTCGGATTCCAGATTTGTAAAACATATATTTGATCATTGTATCGGTTTTTCAAAGAAAATAGTGTTGTGAAGGATCCTTATTTGTAAACTTTTACAGACATTTTATTTGCCGTAAATAAGTCAAATCTTCAGTATGCCCTACTGATACTCTTTTTTTTGTGTCTTTGTTTTGAAGGTAACATGCCCGTTCCCTACCTTGGGTTAAATAATAATATTTTTTTTTTTATATAGACAGGTTTACATATTTAGCTTTACATCTAATTTACAATATGGCCCTCTAATACACAACTTACAATGGACATGATATATACAATGGCATATGCAAATCCTGACAAGTTAAAGTATAAAACTTTTTGTTACATCTATAAAAGCTTCTTCAGGTATGCCTTCTTAAAGACTCTACACTAGGTAAAATATGCAGTAAGCTTTCTAAACTGTTCCATACAATTCTAACAGAGTAACTAAAACATCTCACATAATTAGTTGTTCTACATTTTTTCACATAAAGTTTTGTGCTGTTAAAAGATCGTGGTGTAGTTCTGGTAGAAACCTGGTTAGCATAGGTTAACTACTGATTAAGAACAGGTACAGTCTGGTCATGTAAAGTCATATACAAAAATAAGCGTTTTCCTAAAATCATAAAATTTCTGCAAAGGAAGCCATCTTAAATGTTATAAAAGTACAGAGGCTTGGGTAAAACATTCTATAACTTGAAGAACTACTCTTGCTGCCCGTTTTTGAAGCATACACAGTTTGCTTAAATATTCCATATTAGATTAAGTACACCGTATTCCAAAACAACATAGAAAGTGTGGTAAAACAATGCTATTGTACATTTTTCTTGCCAAACAGATGGAAATAAATGGTCTTACACGTTTAAAATCACCAACCTTCTTGGATAGTTTCTTACATACATATTATATATGGTTCTCCCTGCTAAAACAATCATCAATAGTAACAACAAGAAGTTTGGCAATATGCACAGTTTCAATGACATGACCATTGATCTCAAATTTACAATGTCTTACCTTTGATAGCTTTTCGGATGAGCCAATCATCATGCATTGCGTCTTATTCAGGTTCAAACCTAGTTTGTCCTGGTCCATCCACTTTACTGTACGCTTCAGATCCTCTGACAGACTAAATTCATTATCGTTTACAGAAGTCCCCGCCGCATCCTGTGAGGTACCATCAGCGTACATAGTGACAGAACAATGATAAACATGTTTACTGTAGTCATTCATATAAAGCATAAAAAGGGCCCAAGGATGGATCCTTGAGGAGCAACAATTGTCACGGGTGTAAAATTGGACAATTTACCTTTATAATTTACACATTTAATTGATTTTGTGAAGAAGTAGATGGTGGTTTACTGTGTGGAATGCCACTTAAACTACTTTTCAAATAATCTGACAAGTGCCGACTCACTAGAGTGATTTGGACGAAACCCAAACTGACTGTCAGTCAACGGACTGTTCTCAGAGATATACGTACAGAGAGAAACATGCACCTGTCTCTCCAGTATCTTACTTACAAAAGGTAAAACAGAGATAGGCCTGTGTTTGTTGACATGAGACTTATCACCAGACTTCTTTTGGAAATGTATATGAATTAATAGATTAATTTAAAATATAAACAAGTGAATTATTTACAGCATCACCAGCCAATTTCAGTAACTTTCAGACATGTTGAAGGCTGTCGTCAAAACTTGGTTCCAATTTCAGAGCCAATTGTAATAAAAATGTATTGAAACAATTTGAAATATCAAAGTCATTTGTAACGTCATTGCCATTAACTTTGACACTCGAAGGAAGAAAACAAATTGAATTGGATTTGCATTTGCATTTTTAATTTTGGTAAGAACGCGATAACGAGATGCGCGAAACAACTGCCAGTCAGCTCTAGATTTTGATATCTTGGCCTTTTTTATGGTAATAATCTCGGTTAAACATTTCACTCATCATTTATCCATGGTTTTGTTTTTGGACTTAGACGTTTTTCCTTTAAAGGTAAATGTTTGTCTACAAATTCAAAAAAAAAGGTTCAGTAAATGTTTGCCAGGCGTCGTCAACTTCATCGAAAGTCTCTAAAATGGACCACGGAACCTGGTTCATGTCCCTTGAAAACAAATCTGAGTCTAGGTTTTTTTTCAAATTCCTAAATTTAATTGAAGCATGTCCGTTTGAGGATTTGTTTTGTTGCAGCTTATGAACGGCAAATATAAAGTGATGCTCACTTATACTTAGTGGTAACACTTCCACACTTTTATACGGAAAGTTAGTGTACGTCATATTGGAAAAGACCACCTCTAAAAGCTAGATAAATCAGGAGCACACCTGACACACAACTGCTACCGACAGCCATGTGCTACCGACAGCCATGTGCTACCGACATCCATGACCTTGACCTTTTCTTGTCCTTAAATACCAATATTTTACCCAAGGTAATATCCCTTTTTTTGTCAACTCACCCACATACGTCTTAGGTAACCACCCCGTAATCTACTCTTGCTTTGAATCGTAAAACTAACACGTCCATACCAGAACGATACATTGTGCCGTTTTTGTTTAATCATTGGAAATGCTTTTGTTGAAGTTTTGGCAATACTTTTATTTCATATTTGTTTGTATCTCCTGTATACACTAAATTTACTATTACACTAGCGTACTGTATTAAACTTTGCATATTGAACATAAAAAGGTGATTTACTCCACTTTCCAAAGAACAAAAGTCACATATAACTGGAAAGAAGGGACATGGCTTCGAATTGATAACACGTTTTCGAATTCCTGAATTAAATGTATTTGCATTCTACACTTGCCGCCAATGAAAACAGTTTGATTTGGAAAAAATGATGAAATATGATTAAAAGTCAGCAACACATAAGAAATGCTTACAAGCGGAAGATATGTTATCTCAGTCTTGTTGTCGTTTTTTGTTGTTGTAAATTTGATAATCAGTGTTTGACAGCATATAATGTTTTCATTTCCAGAATGAGTTTTACTAAAATTGCTGAATGTAGTACATTTCTATTGATGGAACCTACAAGAAAACAGGTTTTTACATAATTATAACAACTACATTATGGTATTCGTTACCATAGGGAGCACTGTCTACGGGGTTAATGTGTAAAAACCGGTTAAATGCCTAAAATTCTGACTGAACCGCAGCCGTTGACAGAGTCATCGATTTGGCCGTATTTAGTAGAAACGATACAGCTATTCTGTTTTATAGAAAGAGTTCTGTCGTGATACCGACTTCCTTTTTCGTACTAACGACAAAAATATCTCGTATTAAAAGAAATATTTATGTCGGAATGATAATTTAACATCTCGTAACAGTCACGTTTATATATAATGTTTTGTTGTTATAAGACTGAGTAAGTTGTAGGTCTCAAAACATTACAATAGATGCTTAAACTTGTTAATATTAGATTTATCGCAAAAGGTTATCGCTGATCGATTTATCTTAATGTCATGTGATTGCATTATGTTTGTTTTGTGAATCAGGCGCATTTGAGTGTCCCTTTAAATGGTAGTCTTTGCAAAGTGAATAATTAAGATATGCTAGAGGAAATACATATAATTGTTTCTTGTAAAACAGAAAAGAAATGGAGAGTTCTGATTATAGCCAATCAATTGAATAATAACGCCAAGTTAATATCAAAAATCGCAAAAGTCCACGTGATTATGATTCAGCATTTAAAAGTAAAAAAACATCGTCTTATGTACCCATCTACTGACAGCGAATCTTTTCTTATTTTTCCTCACAAATTGAAAACGTCACTTATTTCCATTAGTTGCAGACCAATGTGTACACTATCAGGAAGCAGGAAATAGTTGGTACTATTTAAGACATTTTTAGAACTAAATTGTTGAACTTTCTTTTTTTATTACAGTAGATGTTCCAAGTAACATTCCAAGGATTAGTCTAACTGTTTGTACGTGGAGGAATAATTTAAGTTGTAAAACCGACTTAAACTTTCATCTAAAAGGATTAGTTATCTCGTTCAAAAAGAGTGTTATGTCGTAATGACAACTTATTATCACGTTGAAAGACAGTGCATTATTACAATATAGCTAAGTCGTTATTAAAGATAACATGTCCTTATCGTATTTTTTTTCTATACGAACCGTGCCGCTTTTTGTTTGATTTAAGTATTAAACTTAGTTTGTGTCAAAGTTTATCGTAACATTTTGTATTTTTGCGGTCAGTAGAGCATTGAATTCCTTAATACACGGGAGTATAGATATACTACTTTGCTAATGTCACGTCTGTTGTAAAAAAATAATCTCAAATCGATTGATCTGATACGTCATATGATTAAACCTTTTATCTGTTTTGTGAGTCGGCGCAATGGAATGTCAGCCATATCATTCATGGTGACACGTTGGAGGAAAGCGGACCAATGGGGAGTTATGTTTATACTTTAAAAGTCCTTGTATCATCGTCACCAAGGAGCACTGGCTTAAATGTATTTGTTCTACAAGTCAATTTGCAGAATGCAGCTACCCGTGTATGTCACACTATGAAAACCCGAATGTAAAAGAAAACCGAGTGTAAATAAGTGTGTTTGTGGTCACCGTGTATACTTTAGGTAAGTAACTGTTTTATATGATGCTATTTTTGTTATAAAGGTAATTTCATGAGGAACTCTGAACCACTTTAAATCATAAAACTTCATAAAAAATACCTTTAGCAAACCAGACTCGTTATCTGTTAGGGCTATACCACAATTGCCTGCATTTGCCCTCTGTGATACACACTGTCTTGATACTCTCGTGATGGCATATCTACTGATTGTTTTGATTTTAATTGTTACATTTTTTGAAACAAATGGTATTATTCTCCTTTCAAGGGTCTCCATGTGGCACTTTGTCTGCCCTGGTTTTATCAATTTTGGTAAGAATTATGATTTTGTTGATACTTTGGTATCATGTATTATTATTGTGTGTGTTTAGTCAGTGGTCCTTTGGAAAGTATTGATTAAAAAGTATTTCAAAATCAAAATGTACTTTTTTCATAGTCTTTTCGTATTATCATTAATATTGACAAATTACTTTAAGTGAACCATTCACGCGTCACATAGTTCCACTCACAGGTTTCCATTCAACAGTTCAGTTCCCATTTCCAAATCCGGCTACCTGCACGGTACCAGTTTATGTTCTTACTACACATGCAATCTTATTTTATTTCCTGTCTGCTCTTATCCCTACACTTATGACGACATGCACCCAGGTTCTTCTGTGTGGAACAACATTTTCAGTTAAGCTGACGCCGTTGACCAGGTGCCTTTTTAATGTTAGTTGTTGATGCCAGCTCTTACCTAATGTTGAAGTGCAGTTCTCACTTATCTTTTGAATTCTCCTAAGATATTGATGCATGGATATAATACATAAGACAATCATCACAACTAATACTCTCACCATTCAAGCAATAATTTATAAACAAAATAATAACATGATATTTCACGGCTCTGTAATATTTAGCATAACATGTAGCAAACATAGAGTAAGCGTCCAGTTTGGCACCACACGGCATCCATACATGTTTTACCCTCTATAGTGATTTTTTTGCCTAGCCCGTGAGGTTCTGCGCTATGAGTATCAAACGCGAGACATGAGGTTATGGCGACGCTTGGTTACCTGTGTCCTGAGCTCGTGTAACTGTTTTCTCTGTACACTTACTGTACAGTATGTCCTCCGCATACGTGGTTTGACATACACAAAAATAGCACAGGACAAACGGCATACCATCAACTTATACACCACAAAACAATAAAAATATGACTCTCTTCCCGTATAACGTAATTCAAATATGCCGTTATCAGTAGGTATTAAAAAGCAAACAATACCTTGCAACAAATACTGATATACCCCATATATTGACTATTATATCTGCCTAAGTTATTGACCTTTACCTATAGTTGACTTACTTCTTTTATGACGTTATAAGTAATTATAAAGATATCAGGGAAGTATTACAAAAATATATTTTTGACAGCAAACACTGTTATGGTTAGATATGTTGCAAACATTGATGATTCTCATAAGGTCACGTGTGCAGTGAAGGCGCTATACAATTAAACAGGATGTATTCTATAATTCAAGCAAGTTTGAAATGCTTTCCCAGTTATGAAACGTATATCTTGTCATTGTCCAGTACAAGATGATGGTGTGTATGCGTGGAAAAGTAGTGCGTGTATGTGCATATGCTATGTAACATATCTTTGTTAATGCATGAAAATAAACAAAAAAATATAAAAAAATAACAAACACAAAATACAAAAAAGTACAAAGTACTGTATTTGGCATATTTGTGTTATTGTAGGGTCTTCTTTGTAATAAGAAATAAACCACTAAAATGAAATCATAGTATTGGGTATTCTGTCATAAAGAGTAGACCAGGCTACAATGCCATCGCCCGGGTGCTTTTGATTATTTAAAGGAAGTTGTCTGAATATTCTTTAATCATTTGACCCCTGTGATATAGAAAGTGAGTCAGTATCCTTCATTGGAACAAACCTGATTACCCATATATGAACACCTTTGGGCTTTTGGTAATCAAGAGAAAGTTGTTCTTGATCGTCTAGTTCTGACTAACACGCACGGCATTAGTAAAAGGGAAATGGGTTGCTAGTTTTCAGCACTTTTATTACAAATTGTATTGTTTATAATAAACATTAAAAATTATATATGTTTATGGTTTGATTTATGAAATCTATAAGTTCGTTGTGATCTTGTCGGCTTGTAACGAAGTTAGAAGGGGTGGGAGTAAACTGGAATCAGTTTGTCCGTCTGTCCGACTGTCTGTCAGTAGAAAAAAATTGTCCGGACAATTCCTTCTCAAGTAATAAACCAATTCAAATGAAAGTTTCCAGGTATGATAACTGTTTGTTGAACAGATCTTGTCCTGACAATTTTTCCTAATTTAATGGGTCGCTTGCAAAGAAAGTTTACATATATGGTTACTGCCACAATGACATTGTCCGTCCAAGTGTGTTCATTTTTCATTCTGACTCTTTTAAAAGGAGTTTTCATCCTTTGTTGAAAGAGGTAAACTGTTGCTGTCCCCTCAACTACTCGATCGATTTCATTGAAAAGGTTACAGATATGATTATTACTCCCTGATGTCATGCACCAGGTATTTCTTTTTTTTTCTCTCCATTTCGACCGATTTTAAGGAGTTATGGCCCTTATTAAAAATATCTGTTTTGACAACTCTTCCTAAACTAGTTCATCTGGGCTCACACGATTAGTATGAAAGTATGTTGTGGCATGGGTAGAGAGAACATGAATCATGTCAGTGACCTATATACTGAAATAATTGTACTTTGCAATAAATACAAAAATCCTCACAGATGGGAAACTATAGATTGCTTTGCAATGATTTGATTTAGAGGGCTTTATCTTACAGTTCTGTTTTATATAGGATCGGCGGGTATTAGTAAGCCTTTGGCTGACAGTTCTAGTTATTCATAAATTGTGATACATAGCTTAAGCAAACTATATAAGAACATGTAAGCAATTGTAATGCAATTGTAATGCAATTATAAAGAATATTGATTGGAAGCAACGACATGGTTAGACTGTACGACAAAGAAAGATGTTTCAATGAGTATCTGAACACACTGTGCAACGATAAGCTGGTAAAATATTGCAACAACAACAACAGATAATGGGCGGGATTTCAAAGAAATAAGACTACATGGGAACGGCATACCTCTAGTTTGTTATTTGATCAGTTCATTAGTGATGATGCTTGCATGACTTCTACATATGCTGATTAACGATACACGGCTATAAATTCGAGTTGACTTTATATCATTTCTACAGAGATTTTCTTACGTCAAAATATACTTGTTGGCATTTTTATTGAAATTATTGAAATTTTCAACTTCCTTTTTTTCAGGACTCGGGACACTGAACTGGAGCAGACTGCAATTTAGCAATGGCGACGGGAGAGTCAACGCAATCAAGTGATCAGGTACGATGAGTTGTAGGAAAGGGATTTATAATCTTCAGACACTCTTTATAGCCTAGGAGAATACTTTGTCATTAAGGGTCAATACGATGATCATTTCCTTCGTGTTCCTTCTATATAATGACTTTTAACTAAAAAAGGTTAGCAATAATATATCAGTCAGCATGATTTGAAAATCATGAAATATATCTTAATCGTATTCCTCACTAACATATGTAGGTGTTCTATTAATTTGTGTAATATGTCTATTGTTTACAATGAATTCATAGGTTTGTTATGTCTGCCAGCTTGTCATCTTCATGTTGTATTTACCTACTAGCCGAAGCTACTTTTAATGGGAATCCCCTTGCCATGGTGAAGTGAGAAGTTTCCGGTATTTGCAAAAAATATCAAAGTTGTTAAAATCTGTGTATCGATCTCTACTAAATACGGAAGGTATGTGATAAAAGCAAGACCACACACTTGTGTTTTTGTAACGAATCAAAAAGCATTCATTTATTGCGCAGACGTATATACATATACTTAATACTGTACATAGAAAAACGTTTCCTATTTATATAATTTAATACACGGGAATACCTGTAACAAGTATATCATTAATACTGTACATAGAAACATGTTACCTATTTAAATAGTTAAATACATCGGAATACCTGTTACCAGTAGATACTAAATATTGTACATAGAAACACGTTACCTATTTATATAATTAAATACACGGGAATACCTGTTACCAGTATATACTTAATACTGTGCATAGAAACGCGTTACCTATTTATATAATTAAATACACGGGACAACCTGTTACCAGTATATACTTAATACTGTGCATAGAAACACGTTACCTATTTATATAATTAAATACACGGGAATCCCTGTTACCAGTATATACTTAATACTGTGCATAGAAACACGTTCCCTATTTATATAATTAAATACATGGGAATACCTGTTACCAGTATATACTTAATACTGTACATAGAAACGCGTTACCTATTTATATAATTAAATACACGGGAAAACCTGTTACCGGTATATACTTAATACTGTGCATAGAAACACGTTACCTATGTATATAATTAAATACATGGGGATACTTGTTTCCAGTATATATTAATACTGTACATAGAAAAACGTTTCCTATTTATATAATTTAATAAACTGGAATACCTGTTACCAGTATATCATTAATACTGTACATATAAACATGTTCCCTATTTATATAGTCAAATACATGGGAAAACCTGTTACCAGTAGATACTAAATATTGTACATAGAAATAAGGTACCTATTTATATAATTAAATACACGGGAAAACCTGTTACCGGTATATACTTAATACTGTGCATAGAAACACGTTACCTATGTATATAATTAAATACATGGGGATACTTGTTTCCAGTACATAATTAATACTGTACATAGAAAAACGTTTCCTATTTATATAATTTAATACACTGGAATACCCGTTACCAGTATATCATTAATACTGTACATAGAAACATGTTACCGATTTATATAGTCAAATACATGGGAATACCTGTTACCAGTAGATACTAAATATTGTACATAGAAACACGTTACCTATTTATATAATTAAATGCATGGGGATACTTGTTTCCAGTATATAATTAATACTGGACATAGAAATGCGTTTCCTATTTATATAATTTAATACACTGGAATACCCGTTACCAGTATATCATTAATACTGTACATAGAAACATGTTACCTATTTATATAGTCAAATACATGGGAATACCTGTTACCAGTAGATACTAAATACTGTATATAGAAACACGTTACATATTTATATAATTAAATACACGGGAATACCTGTCACCAGTATATACTTAATACTGTGCATAGAAACGCGTTACCTATTTATATAATTAAATACACGGGAAAACCTGTTACCGGTATATACTTAATACTGTGCATAGAAACACGTTACCTATTTATATAATTAAATACATGGGAATACTTGTTTCCAGCATATAATTAATACTGTACATAGAAAAACGTTTCCTATTTATATAATTTAATACACTGGAATACCTGTTACCAGTATATCATTAATACTGTACATAGAAACATGTTACCTATTTATATAGTCAAATACATGGAAATACCTGTTACAAGTAGATAATAAATATTGTACATAGAAACACGTTATCTATTTGTATATCTAAATACACAGGAATACCTGTTACCAGTATATACTTAATACTGTATATAGAAACACGTTACCTATTTATATAATTAATTACATGGGGATACCTGTTACCAGTATATAATTAATACTGTACATAGAAACACGTTACCTATTTATATATTTAAATACACGGGAATACCTGTTACCAGTATATACTAAATATTGTATATAGAAACACGTTACCTATTTATATAATTAAATACATGGGAATACCTGTTACCAGTATATAATTAATACTATACATAGAAACACGTTTCCTATTTATATAATTAAATACACGTGAATACATGTAACCATTATATGTTTAAATTCATAGCAACAAGTGTTCCGTTGTATGTAAAAATAAATTAAAAAGAACACATTTTATCAGTACATATCTTACAACTCTTAACAGAAACATTTGTTTCCTATAAATTATCGTATACTATACAAAGCTTGTTTTTTATCGATTCAAACATATTACAGGCTGTTGTAATAACAGTTAATAAATGTAACCATCTCAGCATGTATACATTACTTTCCTTTGTATTTAACTTTAATCAATATCAAACTCCTGGTAGAAATAGTATTGGTTAAATGTCGAGCTAAAATATCCTCTGGATTTCCTTGACTGCGTTGGTTATATCCATCGGATTGTTGTTGATGATGACGACATTCGTGATAACAGAAGTGAGAGTAGCAAATACAAAAATAAAAATAATGTAACTCACCCAATATCAAATATCACTTTAGTTGCTTTCTGAATTATATCTTTGTTACATAGTTGTTCAACCTAATTTTAAATTCATAAATATATGAGTACATTATAATTGGTGTTGTATTATATATGCCAAAATTATCGACAGGTTGAAGGTAGAGTGTCAATTATTTCTTGCAATATGTTACAGACGGCAACCATGTCTTCAGTTACACCTCTTCACGATGCCGTCTGTCATGGAAATCTCAAAAAAGTACATGAGCTGGTTAGGTCTGGGGCGAATCTTGGGACAAGAGATAGTTTAGGGCATACACCTCTGATGTGTGCCGTAGCTTTAGACTATAAACATATTGCTGAATTTCTATCAAAAAAAATGAGTTATCAGGACTTGAATGTGATGGACAACGCCCAGCGCAATGTGTTACATATGATGGCATTCCTTGATCGTCCGTGGCCACAGTTGATGCAGGACATATCAAGTATGTGTCCGAATTTATTACAACAGACAGACAAAACTGGACTTCGATCGAAAGATATTGCAAGGAGAAGAAGTCGACGTGTTTACAAAATTATCGGTAAGTTATCTCAGTCGTAGTTATATTGATCCACACTAATGTACATACTAGGATATTTTATTACGTATATACAGGACCACACCTATTCATAAACAACACTTAGTGACGTTAAAATGTCATTCTGCAATGCTTGTGATGTAACGACCCTTTCAATTGGCAAATCACTATTGATAATAGGACGATACACCATGCGCAAGTGTGTATTATCTTTCAACAGACCAAAGCTCTTCCAAAAACCTTCGCGTGTCCAGTTTAGACTCTACTATCAAATAATAATGAATACGTTACACACTTTTTAAATGTCAAATACTGTTGCTTTGTTCAGAGCAATTGGAGCAGCAACATGAGCAGATACAGCAGGAGAGAAAGCAGCATCAGCAATATACGGCAAGAATAGCTAAGAATATAGACAATCCTTGTGATATTACCATTACTGTCGTTGGTCACCAGGGAGTTGGCAAGTCTTGTTTTGTTCGACAACTCAAAGAGGAATATATTCCAAAAGGCGGACCTGGTGCGACAGATACCGCTGATGTCTATGTCAACTATATAGCCTACGACCCGAACACTGGATTCCGACAGACAATTCATGAAGATGGGGAAATTAAAATGGGTAGTCGGCGACTAAGACAGATCGTTGACCGACACCAAAAAGAGGAAAACGCATCTGTGGAACCGTCTGCAGATGCACCAGGTCGTCACCATGATAAAGAAGAAGCGTCACCAAATACACCAGATCTACTCGTGGCATCAATAAATGCATTAACGTTGGATGCGCCTGTATCTAGGAAAAAGACAGGTAACTGTAACGACGCATTTAGCCAGTAGAGATTTGTAAATACCTTTTATCTTTTAAGAACGATTTTTAGCAATGCAACTATCACAATCGCTTGCAAGCCTATCATTGCTTTAAAATATTAAACCATCAGTAGATGAGGGTGGAGTATACCATAAACATATCACTTAAAGCTTATGAGTATCGAAGATGGATTAAACAAAATTGTGATGTGTAATACTTGCTATAGCGTTACTGAAACAATCTTAATGCATTTACTCTTCAGGTATCAAACAGACACCGAAACAAGTGAGAGCAAAAGTAAGAGGTAAGATGCCTTAGTCATTCCAAAAGGTAAACGTAGCCTACTGACTTTACACCAACGATTAACAGGATACAAGCGGATGCTAAACATCAAGCTCATATGCATGATAATTAAACAAAAACTTATCAATTGATATGGCTTTTCTATTTTACAAAATACATGCATGTCACAAATTTCAATTTATGATCAGTGAACGTAACTGTGAAGAATATTAAGATATACAATGGTTAAAAGTTTATATCTGCATTACATAACTTCATTTTCAATATCTTATTAAACCCTTTCTTTTCAGAAGAAGTTGACCAAAAAGAAATACCTCAACAACAAAGCAGCGGAAATCCTACTTCTTCAGAAGTTCAACATGATGACATACCTCAAGAACAAATTAGAAAACATGTTTTCCCTTCAGAAAAACATATGCACCAGGAAATACCCGATAAACAAAGGATCGTTATAGAGAATATAATGTGCACCGACATAGATGGTGATGGCGCTGAAAAGGTTAAGGGCTTCGTCACAATCTATGACTTTGGAGGGGAGAAGGTGTTCTACAACACGCACCACTGTTTCATGTCAAGCAACATGGTCTTCGTTCTGGTGTTCGACGTCGCTATGTGTCTCGATCCAAGCCGAAAAAGGGAAGGCTATGGTACTGTTTAAACGTTTTTTATATTTTTTTAAAGCTCTTACTAATAATTGTTTTAGAGCTAATATAGCCAATCAATAATACGCTTGTCTGACGTTTCGATAGCTAGTACAATATATTTTCTCTGATATTCAAGATTGATCAACCATATGTAATAGTGTATAGGAAACATTGTGTTTATGCATTGGATAAATAACACAGAGACACAAGTAACGAAGGGCGGCCTAATTAATGACGCATGCCCTGTTCAGGCCTGCTGCACCAAGTCGCTATTATTAGCGTCGTAATTTGTGTTTTACAGAAAGAATCGAATTCTGGCTGAGGTCCATCGCTACCTATGCTATTGACCAAGCAGCACATGGTAAAGGAACTCCTCCTATCATCCTCGTGGGATCACACATGGACATTGCTTCTTCTAATGTAAGGTTTTAAAAGCACATATATACATTTATATATATTATAAAAACTGAAGAAAGGGATCCTTACGGACGAAGAAATAAGATAAAGAGGAAAAATCTAAACAACAAGTCTTTAAGCTTTATATACATATATGAAGCGATAAATCGTTTTAAATGTCCTTCTGATGGTAAAAATATAAATTAAACAACACACGAAGACTAGTATAATCGGCTACCGCTTTCGCCCATCTTGGAGCTCTTCAGGCAATTTAAATGTATTTGCGACGTCAAAAATGGAGTATACATACTTAAGACGTCAATAATAATGACGTCATAAACAAAGTACACATAAGGCGAAAGTCTAGAAATTGCAACGACTTTAAAAGATAACATGAATGTACTTGCATTAAATGCGTCAATGGAATATTATGTGTACTTTGTTTATGACGTCATTATTTTTGACGTCTTAAGTACGTGTACTCCATTTATGACGTCATAAATCAATCGAAATCTAATCTTCGTGTTTTGTTTTATTTATACATACATACATATATTGTATGGAAAGTCTGAAGAATTTCCTTGGTGAGATGAAAGCGCTAAAGACGTGTTGTTAAGAGTTTCATTTTAAATAATATCTTTGTCCGTAAAGGATGTTTCCGCTGTTATAATATTTATATATATATATTGATACCTTAAATAAATGTGTTTGTTCTGTTTTATTTTTTTTCAAATCTGCAATTTTGATTGACTAGTGATATGCTAGTTATCTTTTATGGACAAATTTGACGTTAAAGGAAAGCATTAACACAGTCATGCTTTTGTTAAGTTGATAACAAATGCTTGTTTTAAATTTTCATTTTTTAAAAAACCTTTTGTAAGTGTCGCTGTAAAAAGTAACTTGGATTACTTGCAGAAAAAAACAACATTTCGTGATGCTAAATTCGAATAAAAATCAATAAACATTAGGATAAAGAAACAATATGATTTTATTGTATGCACAAAAAAGAGTCGTTACAAGTACTGCTTATCACAGATGCGTCAACACAGTCATATTTCCTATATCTTGTAGTTTTTTCTATAGATTTAATTTTAACCGGTTTATAATTATCAATCCTCTCCCCAGATGGAATCAAATGGATAGTTTACCATTTGAAATCTGAGCAATATTTCTACTAAGCCATCCCGCCCCACTACATATCTTCATGAATAATACAAATCATCTGTTCAATCCCGTTATTAATGTCTTTGTTTCTTTCGAGGAATAATTTTGATATATATTTAACACTGAAATCAAAAGTTAGATAGAAATATCTGCTACTTTAAAATTTACGAAGGCTTATCAATTAACGTCCTCCAACGATTTTTTTTTACACAGAAGGAAGATCAAACAAGATTATTTGACTCAGTGATAGCACAGCTGAACGAGAATACAGAAATTCGTGGAATTATTAAAACCCTCGTCCATGAAATGTTTCCCATTGCACATCTAAATATTTCAACTGGAAAGCAAACTACCTACTTGAATGTGTGGAAGAAGATAATAGAGGTTGCCCCGCTCCAATCTCAGTGGATGAAACCCGTACCTGCAAGATGGGTCGCCTTTGAACACGAGTTGGTGAGACTGAAAAATGAAAGCAATGCTATCCTGACATATGCTGATTTGTTGGAAATCAACAGGGAGTTAGCAGTGCCATTAGAAGAAGATGACATCATCCAATTCATATGGTAGGTAGAAATCGGCATCGCTTTTTTTTTAGTTAGGCTTCTACCATTTTATATTATTTTTCTAACAAAGATGTTTCCATTTCAGGAAACTGAAGTTTTTCGGATCTTTTCTGTGCTTTGATCTCCATAGCAAATCACCATTCATCGTTCTTCGAGCACAGTGGATAATAGATGCATTCAAAGCCATTATAACCGACCGAAAGTTTACTTCCAAACTAACGGCGAAGCAGAGACTTCAGTGGTCGGAATATGAAAAATCTGGTATTTTACCGGTAAACTTCATGAGACAACTTTGGGGGCAGGACAAGAAATTTGGGTTTCTTGAAAAAGAAGACAGACTCTGCATCGCATTGGAAACTCTCGGTTTACTATCTAAACCACTGTCGGTAGGTACCGAGGTGGATTACTTCATAGTTCCAAGTATTCTACAAACTGCAGATCCCGAGATAATTGGCCCAGTGCTTGATAAACCTGACACTGTTACCACTGCCACTCTTTGCCTTAGGTTCGACAACCCTTTCATCCCACAGGCCGTGTGGGACAAGATGATTGCCTCCTGTATTCACAGGTTTCAGCGACTTGAACAGCCCGGACTTGATGGTTTAAAGTTCATCCGACGCGGAATCGTTTGCCTTTCGGTGGATTGCTTATGGAACATGATCATCAACTGCAGCGACAATGCCATGAAAGTGACATTGTTCAAAGAGAATACAGATCGTTCAATACCAACTGGAACTGGAATTCCATTGCTCCACGTTCTTGAATTTCTTCTCAAGCGTATTCTTGAGTTGAATCACCAAAGTCATCTAGGATACCAATTCTACCTTCATAATGACTACCGGTTCTCAACCGATGATAAGTTGGTGAAGTTGGACGATCTTCTAGACACGCCACGTTTAATATGCTACGGTTTAAAAGGACCTGGCTGGATAGATAGAGACGACCTTTACGTCTGGTTTAAAGATCCAAATCACAAGGTAAACAGTTTATACTTTTTTCCATAAGAGTTAATACGCAATCGTGCTTATAAGTTCTATATATTATGGTTTCTCATTGCTGAAATATTAAGTGTCCATGCTCTTTTGAAATTCATCATATTTTGTATCTTGTCAGAAAATGGTTCGGCGACAAAAAAACAACATTTTGTTTGTTTTGTAGGTGAAACAGGCTCATAGTCGTAACGATGGTAAGTTGTTGACCTTGGACTTATATGGGTGATTTACTAACATGATCAACTTTAATTTTTACGCATATTGTATATATCGTTGTAAATATCATTTGTTCAATAAATCAGTATTACAAGTTGAAACAATTTACTAATATCCCTATCGATCAATACAATAATTGTGAATCTAAACACTTTGTCATAATCATTTAAAATTTCGCTATTGCATATAATGTTTTAGCAACTAAATAAATCGTTTATAATCAGTGTTCGACAATCAGGAGAATTTCACAAATGTTTTTGCAATTGTCTTTTGATTTGTTTATAAAATATGTTAGTATGCTTTTCCATTTAAAACTACTATGTTTATGGGATTTTACATGTTGCAGACAAAATGAAGGGTTTACCTGACAGAAAACTGTCATTCAAAGAGATTGGTAGAGTATCTAGATACATCGGCAGAACATACCAGACGTTCTTTTCCGAGCTGGACTGTCCGGTCGAGCTTGTTGATCAGGAGATGGAAGAGCACCGCCACCTCGCTTTTAGATCTCGCATAGCAAAGGTCTTTATTCATCTCCTCAAAACGAAGGCGGATACTAGATTCTTGGCTATAGCAGATGCGATGTCACGACACGGGATTGACCCTTCCAAGCTCGTGAACATTCTGGACTCCAACAGGAATGTTACTTTTGATGGTATTTACAAAGTTTCGTTATAGTCTGACTGTTTGTGTAGGGAATCTATATCTATCCCCTTTTCCGAACATTTCTGTTTTGTCTGATGTCGCACCTTTATAATTCACCTAAACGTGTTTAGTCTTTACAGTGGTTCTCGTTAGATGTTGTTTCTTGTGTCTACTAGTCTCGCGTTCGTCCCCGGAATGTATTTGTTCCGTGTTGTAATGACAGCGTAATGTACCTTCTAACTTAAGTTCATTATACATGTACTTCTCGAGCTCATCGAGACAGTATCGATGAAACACAATGAGCGATTTCATTTAAGAAATATTGGAAGAATCACAAGTTTTCGTTTTTGTTGTTTTCTTTTTCAAATGCACCAAGATATTATTTGTTTCCAGACGAGACGTCGCCAGCTAGCGTGCTGCAAAAGTGCCCGTCTACGAAGGATGCTTCGATCATTTCTGACCATGTTGACATCAAGACATATTTTAACTTGTTCCTGGAACTCGGTTTTTCACCCGCAAAGATAGATGACTTTGACGACCAATACAGACATATAAAAACTCGCGTGAAGGTCACTGCCATGCTGGAAGCGTTCATAAAAGAGACCGATCCCTGTCCAACGGTCAACACAATACTCCTGGCGATGCATGAATGCGACATGGACACCGAATCCCTGATCGGAGGATTAAAACCTCCATAGGTACTGAACATTTTACTATTTGGAGAGAAACAAAACAAAATGTTCAAACTGTCTAGATATACTTGAAATGTTGAGATGCTTCATATTATTTCTTATATACAGAAACGCTTTCTCCCTTCAGATCGACGCTTCATAATTTTATATTAACATAATCTGAAGTAATAAATTTATGTAAAAGATGACAACAGAACACTTAAACGTATTGTATCAAGACAACCAAAACAAGACCAACAATTAAATCTTATCAATGTAATATTCTTATTGATTCCGTAATGGTTGTTTGATAACTTCATTATCATACATATCTGACTGATAGTATATTTCCTGATGAACAATTTTGTCGTGATCCTAATTAATAAGTATTATGTTATAAAACTGTTTTGAATTATAAACAAAATTATTCTCAAACTAGCATATATATATGTACATTTCATAGTAATATTCTTTTCGTTTTATTGATTGTAGATACAGGATGTTTTAGTGACGTCTGTTGTCTTGGAGACGTGATAGAAGATATACCGGTTATCAACTAAACCTGGTTAGGAGGTGATGCACCAGTTGAACCCATGGGAGTAGGGCGTAATTAGGACGATTGTATCATAGTTAATATTTGTGCCTAAATGTGTAATCAAATGCAGATGAACTGTTTGCTGTACAGTAGCTGAGCATAACATGGTATGTAGTTACAAGCTTCGTGTTGCTGACTTAGGAAGTATTTATACTAGTAAAATACACAAATTGTGGTATTATGAATGGTCAACATTTTGTCATTGGCTGTGTAAATAAGACATGTAATGTATAATTTGCAAAACTGAAAAGTCACCCTTTAATATTTAAAACTAAATACAAATATATCATGTATTCAATGGGATATAAGCTAATCAATACACACACATGATATAATGTTTTGTAAACAGCATATATCCCTTAACGTCGTATATGTATGAACTGTCTTTTGTACATTTCAAGATATATGTTATTCTTCAAAGCAAGATGTAATTCAATGACAGTTTGGTCATTTTATGTAAAAATGCATCTATAACAAACCGTATATATTTGGAAAAAAGGATATCTTTATTTTTTTAGGAAAAACATTTGCAATGGAGAAATCTATATCCGAGTTGCATATCAAGATAATGTCATTTTTTTAAAGATATCATTTGTTTCTATTAGATATTTCTCTATTTCATTTTAAAATGTTTCTCTTGTGTGTTTCTCTTTTTTATTGAAATTTATGTCTAAGAATTAGGTGAACCATTTTAGTTGTTATATGTTAAGCTGGCTTGTAATACTAAGCAAAAGCAAATATATAAGTAAGTCATAATCCACACGTACATGTTTAATGTGGTGTCTGTGTGTAAATACATGTTATGTACATAGGATATTTACTTTATTAAATATTCAGGATAATGCACAACATTTTTGAAAGGTATAATCGAAGACATATAATTTGTATACTTTTCGGGCTGTGTCAATAAGTATAGTTGCATGACCATGGGCCGTTAAGTTTACTTCATATTATCGTAATCAATCCGTTTCCATGTTAAAACTAAGGGATGGTACTGGTCTAACTGGTGAACTGTCTGGTTACGGCGAAGTGCCGTAATAACGTTTATCAAGTTATTTCATCGAATGCTGTATATCGCAATTGGCTTAAATAGTACTGATATTAATTACAATGGAATTAAAATTAGCAGAAAATTCCAATCCGTAAATAAATGTGAAAATTAATATCTCCAGAAATAAAGTGATATACAGTATGTTTCATTCAAAATTGTTTTCCAAAATCATCTCGCAAAATAGAGTTTTAAAATTTGATAGCAATTCATGTAAACTTTACTACGACTCTACCAAACTTGTAACGCTATCAAGTTTGATTCACTTCCAGAATACGACACATTATTTTAGCTCACCTGGTCCGTCGTCCGTCCGTCCGTCCGGCGTCCGGCGTCAATATTTTACTTTAAACGACTTCTTCTTAATAGCCGAAAGGCCTAGGGTGTAGATATTTGGCCAGAAGCAAACTGGGATAATGGGCTACAAAATTGTGAAAATTAATGACCTTCAACCATTTTCAAGGTCACAGGGGTCAAATATGTTAAAAACTTTAAACATCATCTTTTCGATAACCAAACTGCCCAGGGAGATGATATTTGGCCAGTAGTTTGCTGAGGTGAAGGGCTACCAAGTTTCTTCAAATGAATGACCTTAAATTATATTCAAGGTCACAGGGGTCAAATATGTTAAAAATCCAAACAACTTCTGTTCAATAACCAAAATGCCCAGGGTGATGATATTGGGTCAATAGCATGCTGAGATGAAGGGCTACAAAGTTTGTTCAAATGAATAATCTTCACTCATATTCAAGGTCACAAGGGTCAAATATGTTAAAAACTTTTTAAACAACTTCTTTTGAATAACCAAATTGAACAGGGTGATGATATTGGGCCAGTAGCATGCTGCGATAAAGGGCTACAAACTTTGTTCAAATGAATGACCTTCTCCCATATTCAAGGTCACATGGGTCAAATATGTTTAAAACTTTAAACAACTTTTTCTCAATAACCAAAATGCCCATGGTGATGATATTGTGCCAGTAGCATGCTGAGATGAAGGGCTACACAGTTTGTACAAATGAATGACCTTCACCCTTATTCAGAGTCATAAGGGTCAAATATGTGAAAAACATTAAACAACTTCTTTTGAATAACCAAAATGCACAGGGTGATGCTATATGGCCAGTAGCATGCTGAGATGAAGGCTACACAGTTTGTTCAAATGTATGACCTTCACCCATATTCAAGGTCACAGGGGTTAAATATGTTAAAAACTTTTAAACAACTTCTTCTGAATAACCAAAATGCCCAGAGTGATGATATTTAGTCAGTAGCATACAAGGATCAAGGGCTACCAATTTTGTTTAAATGTATGACCCTGAATCATGTTCAAGGTCACAAGTACATGTTCAAAATATTTAAACAACTTGTTCTGAATAACCAAAAGGCTCAGGATGTTGATATTTAGTCAAGGCAGCAAGGAATATTACGTTTGTTAAAGTAAATGACTTTGACTTATATTCAAGGTCACAGGAGTCAAATTTGTTTAAATTCTGTAAACGACCTCTTTTGAATAACCATGGGTCCCAGGATGTTGATACTTTGCAAATTGCATCCTGAGATGAAAGGCTATAAAATGTGTTCCAACATAATTACTTTGTTCGACTTTCAATCACAGGGGTGGAATGTTAAAAAAAAAATGGGTCTTTTGATATTTTGCCTGTAGCTTTACTTTAGATCACTTTTAAGGTTACACGTGTTAGATTTATACCAGGTGAGCGATGCATGCCCATTTTGGCCTCTTGATTTTTAATGAATAGGTGCATTTTCTGTAGATACATAACGATTAATATTTTTTTACAGTATTTTTACCTTTTTTACTGTAATTATTCGTGTTCAACCCTGTAATTGTTTAGGGTACACGGTTTTGAAAGCCCTCGCCGTATCACATCCCAAAACCCGTATCAGTCCCCGCCGTATCACACCCTAAAACCCGTATCAGCCCGAAAAACCCGAATCACACTTTTTTTTTCGTTTTTTTTTAATATTTCAACAGAACAAATAAATCTTAAGATTGTAGTTTTTATTAGTAAGTATGTAATAAACAGAAAAAAACACGCTTTTTTCCACATCATACCCAGAATCATCCATCGACCAATATCAGCCCTCGGGTTGATACTGGTTGTGATATGGAAAAAAAAAACAATTGTTATTCTGCTGATATGTTAATTGAAGCACACCATTATATCTATACATTTCATTATAGTGTTTGTGGCAATAAACGCGTCTTCCAATGCCTGCTATATAGAATATTCATTGTCATTAAAACAGACGAGTTGTTATTCGCAATTAAGTATTTTTCTTCAGCCACAAATATCTTAGAATCCATATTCATTTAAAAATGAACTACCATGGGCAGTCAAAGCATTCCATATATGTAATTTGGATGTTTTAATATCGCGGACGTGATGTCTGAATCGTACCTTATGTTTTATTTGGATGCATTGGCATGTTTGCCACATCATGATTTCATTGTGGAAAACCTACTTTTGTAACACGGCCCTAAACTATGTTATTGTTGTTTATTACACCACTGACTACAAAAGTGTTCCACTATGAAAGAATATATGTGTCATATTAAGTAGGTCTTCTATAGATTTTTGTTAGCTGTCCGGTTTAAATTTATTGTAATGAACGATCCGGATAAATTAGTCTGTGCAGTATTATTTAACTACGTTCTACTTTGTTTATCATTACAGTTGCAATTAACGAAAACTAAGATATTAGGACACTGTGATACAAATGTGGCTTTATTTAAGATCCTCGTACTTAATTCGTTTCCTTGTCCAAACCTTCTTATACAACGAACACATAATTATTTAATATACTCGATGCGTTTTGTACATTTTTTTTCGGACAATACCATAAAAGAAAACAATAAGTCAAAGTTAATATTTCAGTTAATCAAGGAAATACATTTTAATGGTAACACTACATTTTCTTTGTGATGCCAATTTCAAATACCTGACAAATTTACGTTTGATGGAAAATATGTATTATGTCTTCGCCTGAAGTAACACAAGCTAGACGGAAAATACCGTTTGATAACTTGTGTTAAATCGATAAACATATACATATGACAGACTTGTATGGTAGATACAAAAAATATACAAAAAATATCAATTTTTCAAACCGCCTGTCATGTATTCTATTGAGCTTCGGTTTCGATTAACTTTGTTTTTCGCAGTTGAAGCACGGAGGGGGTAAACTATATGGAGGACAAAGTCCTGTAGTTTTTATCATATTTTGTATGAATTTCATGTGTATACAATGTAGTATGCGTGTCACCTAAACTGCTTTTTCTGAAGTCATGACAGATATTTTGTGTTAATTGTCCGATATGTATTTAACATTTGTAGCAAGGTAAAGAAATTGATTGGAATATTGTTTTTCGTTCTGTATTTAAAGTTCACTTCTTGGTTGTAATAACCACTTGCCGCATTAACACATCAGAGCCCAGTTTGGCAAATGACTAGTTGGCTAGACGCATAAACATTAAACTAGAATATTGTCAAAAATATTGAAATTGAAAACCAAATATGTATATATAACGATTTAACATGTTCACTTAATGATAACAAACAAACATTTGCTTTCAGGTTTTTTGAAAGTTATCTAAAAAAACATTTCAAAAATTTGTATTGACGATTCGTTAAGCTTACTATGCTTTGAACATCGGGAACTTGAAGATAGGTTATCGGTAACTTTGTACACACGTATACAATTGTCAATTTAAGGATCACCTTATCACTGCCAAAACTTGTAACGTGGTGCGGGAAAATGCTTATCCGGGCATGAATATAGCTTTGACAAACTGGGTGGTCGGCTGGTGCAGTAGATAGTGCACTTGCCTGTCACCAAGTCGGGCGGGGTTCGATTCTAAGATCGAACGGGTCACCTTCACGACCACGCTGGTTTTCTTGGGGTACTCCGGTTTCCTCCAATATTACGACCCCCCAAGCGCGCTAACATTCGGACCAACAAGAATGATAAAGATAAGATGTATCAACTTGTTTCATAATTGTTATAAAAGAAATAAAGTTAATACATCAATTTGTATATTTGATAAATTATTTTTGAAAAATAAAACCATACATTGCCGGAATTTTATGGGAAATAACCAAAAAACATTAACAAAATATAACCAACAACAGTGTTCTGAATGGAAATAGGAATCGGAAGGGCTAGACTAGTTTTCGAACCCTAGACTTCAGCTTGGTATAATATTGATCTAACCGATTGAACGACCTAGTCAACAACATTGTATTGGCTAACAGTGATACAGTTATATCCAAACGGAAGTTAAGGGAAGGGGACTATATAAAAAAAAAAAAACACAATGCAGAGGGACAGACGTCTTAAAGGATCCCCGACCACTGCCACAAATTGAAACTTTGCATTCCATTTGGTTTCGCCATGACTGTGGCTTTGATAAAACATTGTAAGAGAAAAGCATACCTTGCGGGACTTTTATGAGAACATAATGCAATGACCAAAATATTATCAACAGACATGTCCTGAGTGAAAACCACTCCGGGGGCCAGACCGGGGTTCGAGCCCTGAATTTCATATATTGTTATCCCTTCGCTGAAACCGATTTAGGGACCTGGACAACGGAAGTGTACATGCTAAAATGGTCTACAGTTATATGCAAACAGAAGTTAAGGATATGCTACTATAAATAAGGAAAAGGGCAGTTCAGTGGGACAGGCATCCTTAAAAAAAAAAAAATTAAACTACTTTAGCCTGCTTTTATATGACGTGTATGTATGTGCTGTCCTTGTGCGATCCTTTGATAACAAATAAGTGTAGGTATCCGGTTTTTAAATGTGATGTATGATAAGACTTGACGCATTTAATTGGCTGGTACATGTTCATGTAGATAGGTTACGATTAAATAATGACGATCCTTGTCAACATATCTACACCTGGGTATACAAAGTATTGTCAGTCTGCAAAACAAAACCATGATATTAGTAGTTGTCCTTTCATATTGAGTTTGTATTTACTATTCATTTTAAGTAACAGCTTAAATAATGGGAATTTAATAATTACATAATAGAAAAAAACAACAGATAGAGACTTAATAGACTAAACGGTCACAATGATGTTTAGCACTGATTGGTGATATGGGGGATGACATTCTTGCAATGTAAATGCTTTTTTAGAAAGTAAACGTTTATTTTAAAGGAATAAACTTTACTGTAATACATTACTTATCAGTTATCAGCCAGTGTTCTAATGGTTTCATTTAGTTTGAGAAAACAAATCGCGGAATTTTAGGATTTTAAGAACAATTTACGACAAATATTTGAATGAAATTGTAAACTATATGTTCTCTTTACCCTTGGACATAATTTCATCACGTTTAAATGCAATACATGTAGAAGAAAACTATGTATTCATCATGGCATGCATAATATCCAAAGAGCTGGTTAGGTAGGGGCTGTCCCAATCAACCTGCTCCATGGACTGTTAATTATCTGTGATAATTTTAGTCAACATATTAACATGTGACTTGTCATAACTATTATAACGATATTTTATACAAGAGTATTGATCCCTGCAATGTTACTCATGATTTATACTAAACAATTGTACATTTTTAAAATGTACCAATGATATTTTGATATATGACACTGAAATAAACAATAATGACTTGTATATTTTTCACCGCGTGAGTTCTTCATGATATAAATAGCATTCGACGAAACAGGCAGAACACTACCAGGTATTCACACAGGCACACATATAGCTACCAGACGAATGCCTAACACATCAGATACTGATACTATGTCGATGGTTGAAGACAGGGACAATAACAGATGTGAGTAATACGTTTCTACTATAACATTCTTCAAATAAAACTATCATTGTCATAACGTTGGCTGCTAAGGAGAGAAAACAAACTGTTAATATAAATTCTACTGAACCTGTGACTTATTCTTTCTATTATTTAAACAGGAACTAAGACTACATTAAAACAGAAACCCTAGTTATACTGCCAACATTAGTCTAGATAAATATTGCTGTTATTAAGAGGAATGCCGACAAACTTGGGTATACAGGAATTCTAAAGAAAACGAAAAAAGGAACATTGAATTATATCGGTGATAAACGAGGCGGTAAATGAAAAAAGGGGCACTATATCGAGGTTTTACCGTAGTTGTTTGCCATTTAATCGTGTATCTTTGTTCATAAAATAGATATTGTTAAGTGATATATTTGTTGATTATGATCTCGTCATACTACAAGTTTAGGATCGACGGAAAATATGTACAATGTCTTCGCCTGAAGTTGCACAAGCTAGAGGGGGAAATGCCGTTTGATAACTTGTGTTAAATCGATAAGCATATACCTGTATGGTAGATACAAAACATGTAAAATTCCAAACCGCCTGTCAGGTATTCTCTTAAGCTTCGGTTTCGACCATCTTTGTGTTTCGCACTTGAAGTACGATGGGGGTAAACTAAACACAATGGATGACAAAGTCCCGTAATTGTTATCAATGTTTTGTATGAACTCCATGTGTATAAAATGCTTGTCACCCAAACTGCCTTTGTTAAGTCATGACACATAGTTTGTACACTGAACTATAAATATGTTCACATGTGAAGCAAGGTAAACAATTGATTGGAACATTGTGATTCGTTCTGTATTATAGGTTTACTTCCTGGTTGTTAAAAAAAACACCTACCGCATTTACACATCAGATCCCAGTTTGGCAAAGGACTAGTTGGCTTAACGCATAATCATTGAATTAGAATAACGTCAAAAACTTTGAAATTCAAAACCAAAATGTATAAATAACAATTTAACATGTTCACTCAATGATAACAAACACACAATTCCTTTCAAGTGTTTGGAAAGTTCTCTAAAATACATTTCAAAAACTTGCTTTGAACATCGGGACCCTGAAGATAGGTTATTGGTAACATATACTGCTATATCACAATTGTCAATTTAAGGATCCCGTATCATTGCCAAACAATGTAACGTAGTGTGGAAAACTGCCAAAATTGACTGGTTAGGTGGCGCGGTGGATAGTGCACTTGTCTTTTACCGAACGGTCGTGAAAAGGTATGGGGTCACCTATCAAATCACGTGGGTTGTATACGTGAACTCCGATTCCCTCCCACAGTAAGACCCCACCGCACGCTAACATTCGGGTTAACAAGAGTGAATAAAATAAGTTGTATAAACTTGTTTCATAATTGGTATACAAGAAATAAGGTTTATGTATGTATATCTATATTTGATAATTTGTTTTTGAAAAGAAAACCATACGCTGCCGGATTTGTATTGGAAATAACAGAACATTTATAAAAAATAATATATTCAACAACAGTGTTCTGAATAGAAAAAAGAAATCAGAAGGGCTAGACTAGGTTTCGAACCTTAGATTTCCGATTGACTTAATCGATTTAACCGATTGAACTATCTGGTCAACACATTTGTCTTGGCTAACAGTGATACAGTTATATCCAAACGGAAGGTAAGGGAAGGGGACTATATAAGAAAAAAAATTGCAGAGAGATAGACATCTTAAAGGATCCCCGTACCACTGCCAAAAAAATGAGACTTTGCATTCCATTTATTTTCGCCCTCATTATGTCTTTGATAAACCATTGTAAGAGAAAAGCATATCTTGCGGGACTTTTATGAGAACATTATGAAATGACCAAAATATAATCAACAAACACGTCCTGAGTGTAAACTACTCCGCTGGGCAAGACCGGGATGCATACCCTGGATTTCATATTTTGTTATCCCTTTGTTGAAACCGATTGAGGTACCTGGACAACGGTAGTGTGCATGCCAAAATGGTCTACAGTTATATGCAAACCGAAGTTAAGGAGATGTTATTATAAATAAGGAAAAGGGCAGTTCAGTGGGACAGGCATCCTTAAAAAATTAAATTGAACTACTTTAGCCTTCTTTTATATGATGTGTATGTGTGTCCTGTCCTTGTGCGATCCTTTGATAACAAATAAGTGTCGGTATCGGGTTTTAAATGTGTTGTATGATAAGACTTGACGCATTTAATTGCCTGGTGCATGTACATGTAGATAGGTTACGATTAAATAATGACGACCCTTGTCGACAGATCTACACCTGGGTAAACAAAGTATTGTCAGTCTGCAAAACATAATCATGATATCAATAGTTGTCCTTTCATCCTGAGTTTGTATTAGCTATCAATTTGAAGAAACAGCTTGAATAATGGGAATTTAATAAATACATAATAGAAAAAAAAACCAGATAGAGACTTAATAGTCTAAACGGTCACAATGATGTTTGACACATACGTAAAGTACACGGTTAACATTTGTTATGCTTCTTTGTCACTGATGCGTTTGATAACAGTCTAGGGTAATACAGACTGTAACATAATACGACTGAACTACGTGTTAATTGTTGGGGTGGAAGTTTATTTTGGTTACGTCAAGTGTTAGGGTCGATCTCTGTCGTCTGTAGAGGTACTCTGGCCGTCCTTCAGCCGTACTATTTCTAGCCAATCTCTAGCCGTCCTCTAGCCGTAACTTATCTAGCTAACATATAGCCGTCCTTCAGCCGTACTATGTCTAGCCAATCTCTAGCCGTCCTCTAGCCGTAATTTGTCTAGACCATCTCTAGTCCATCTCTACCCCATTTCTAGCCGTAAGTTATCTAGTCCATCTCTAGCCGTCCTCTAGCCGTACTATATCTAGCCCATCTCTAGCCGTGTTCTAGCCATTCTATTTTCTAACCTATCTCTAGCCGTGATCTAGCCATACTATATCTAGCCAATCTCTAGCCATCCTCTAGCCGTACTATCTCTAGCCGTACTATATCTAGACCATATCTAGCCGTCCTCTAGCAATACTATATCTAGACAATCTCTAGGCGATCTCTAGCAGTAATGTATCTAGTCCATCTCTAGCCGTCGTCTAGCCGTACTTTTTCTAGCCCATCTCCAGCCGCCGTCCTCCAGCCGTACTATCTCTAGCCAATCTCTAGCCGTACTCCAGATGTACTATATAGGATGGCTAGAGATTGGCTAGAGATATTACGACTATCTCTAGCCGTTCTATAGCCGTAATTTCTCTAGCCCATCTATATCTATAGCCCATCTAGATATCTAGCCCTCCTCTAGACGTCCTCTCTCTAGCCCATCTCTAGCCGTACTCCAGATGTACTATATATGACTGCTAGAGATGGGCTGGAGATATTACGACTATATCTAGCTGTTCTCTTGCCGTAATTTCTCTAGCCCATCTATATATCTAGCCGTACTCAAGGTGTACTATTTCTAGTCCATATCTAGCCGTCCTCTATCCATACTATCTCTAGCCCATCTCTAGTCGTCCTACAGCCGTATTATTTCTAGCCAATCTCTAGCCGTCCCCTAGCCGTATTATTTATAGCCCACATATAGCTGTACTCTAGCCGTACTACCCCTAGCCCAACACTAGCCTTGCTCTAGCCGTACTAAATGTAGCTTATATATAGCCGTCCCCTAGCCGTACTATCTCTAGCCAATCTCTAGCCGTCCTCTAGTCGTACTTTGTCTAGCCCATCACTAGCCGTCTTCTAGCCGTACTATCTCTAGCCCATCTTTAGCCGTACTCCAGGCGCACTATATCTAGCCGTCATCTAACCCTACTTTCTCTAGCCCATTTCTAGCCCATCTCTAGACGTACTCAAGGTGTACTATATCTAGCTGTACTATCTCTAGCCCATCTTTAGCCGTCCCCTAGGCATACTATCTCTAGCCCTTCTCTAGCCGTTTTCTTTGCCGTTCTATATCTAGCCCATCTATAGCCGTCTTCTAGCCGTACTATATCTAGCCTATATCTAGCCCATATCTAGCCAGATGTCATCTAGCCCATCTCTAGCCGTCCTCCAGCCGTACTATTTCTAGCCCATCTCTGGCCGTACTCAAGCTGTACTACATTTGTATCTAGGACGGCTAGAGCACTGCTAGAGATGGGCTAGAGGTAGTACGACTAAATCCAGCCCATATCTAGGCGTGCTCTAGCCGTACTATCTCTAGCTTATCTCTAGCCCATATCTAGCCGTACTCTCTCTAGCCCATCTCTAGCCCATCTATAGCCGTACTGTTTCTAGCCCAACTCTAGCCGTCCCCTAGCCGTCCTATTTCTAGCCCCTCTCTAGCCGTCCTCTAGCCGTACTATATAGATCTATAGCCCATCACTAGCCGTGCTCTAGCCGTACTATCCCTAGTCTATCTATATCCTTACTATCTGTTGCAAATCTCTAGCCGTTCTCTAGCCGTACTATATCTAGCCATACTATTTCTAACCCCTCAGTCCACTAGCCATGCTATTTCTAGCCCATCTCTAGCCTTACTCTAGCCGTACTATCTCTAGCCTTACTATCTGTAGCAAATATCTAGCCGTCCTTTAGCCGTACTATATTTAGCCGTAATATATCTAGCCTGAGTATCTTTATCCAATCCCTAGCCGTCCTCTAGCCGTACTATTTCTATCCTTACTATCTCTAGCCTATCTCTAGCCGTCATCTTTGCCGTTCTATATCTAGCCCATCTATAGCCGTCTTCTAGCCGTACTATATCTAGCCTATCTCTAGCCCATATCTAGCCAGATGTCATCTAGCCCATCTCTAGCCGTCCTCCAGCCGTACTATGTCCAGCCCATCTCTGGCCGTACTCAAGCTGTACTACATTTGTATCTAGGACGGCTAGAGCACTGCTAGAGATGGGCTAGAGATAGTACGACTAAGTCCAGCCCATATCTAGGCGTGCTCTAGCCGTACTATCTCTATCTTATCTCTAGCCCATCTCTAGCCGTACTTTCTCTAGCC